TGGATCTGCCCTAGGCGATAGGGCAGAAGGGAGAGTCGTCAGGCAAAGCTGTTGCGGCTGTCCTCTACACTGTAGTTCTTTTCTCTATTCTCCAGCGACTGCATCTGTCGTTGAGCATTGAGGCACGATAACAGCTCTTCTGCATGACCCCAGTGCGCAATCAATAAGTCTTCCCCCTTCCAGGACTCTTCCCCCTTCCAGGACTCTTCCCCCTTCCAGGACTCTTCCCCCTTCCAGGACTCTTCCCCCTTCCAGGACTCTTCCCCCTTCCAGGACTCTTCCCCCTTCCAGGACTCTTCCCCCTTCCAGGACTCTTCCCCCTTCCAGGACTCTTCCCCCTTCCAGGACTCTTCCCCCTTCCAGGACTCTTCCACCTTCCAGGACTCTTCCACCTTCCAGGACTCTTCCCCCTTCCAGGACTCTTCCCCCTTCCAGGACTCTTCCACCTTCCAGGACCCTTCCCCCTTCCAGGACTCTTCCCCCTTCCAGGACTCTTCCCCCTTCCAGGACTCTTCCACCTTCCAGGACTCTTCCCCCTTCCAGGACTCTTCCCCCTTCCAGGACTCTTCCCCCTTCCAGGACTCTTCCCCCTTCCAGGACTCTTCCCCCTTCCAGGACTCTTCCCCCTTCCAGGACTCTTCCCCCTTCCAGGACTCTTCCCCCTTCCAGGACTCTTCCCCCTTCCAGGACTCTTCCCCCTTCCAGGACTCTTCCCCCTTCCAGGACTCCAATAACTACATGTAGCTCCGCAGAGCCCAAGCCACCGTCCAGGCAGCCTGCTCAGAGGCCTGTGAGGCCTGTGCTGCTGCTCAGCCTGGTATCCTAGTTTCCCTCCACAGAGCCCAAGCCACCGTCCAGGCAGCTCTTTAGAGGCCTGTGCTGCTGCTCAGCCTGGTATCCTAGTTTCGCTCCGCAGAGCCCAAGCCACCGTCCAGGCAGCTCTTTAGAGGCCTGTGCTGCTGCTCAGCCTGGTATCCTAGTTTCGCTCCGCAGAGCCCAAGCCACCGTCCAGGCAGCTCTTTAGAGGCCTGTGCTGCTGCTCAGCCTGGTATCCTAGTTTCGCTCCGCAGAGCCCAAGCCACCGTCCAGGCAGCTCTTTAGAGGCCTGTGAGGCCTGTGCTGCTTGGCCTGGTATCCTAGATTCTGCTGACCATAATTATATTTATGGTATGCTAACAGGGACAACTTCTCCAATCGCTGGCCATCACAGCTTTCAGGTCCAGTGCCTTTGCTGTAGCTTGACAGATATAGTCGCTTGAGGATAGAGAAAAGAACTAGCAAAAGCTCTTCCTGGCCACTCTCCCTTCTGCATCATGGCCTAGGGCAGATCCACTCATTGTTGGTGAAGAATACTGCACTGTTATTGTTTTGCACTTCTGCGTGCCAGTGTCAAGCTCTGCTCCTGGGGACCACACAGCAATTTCCCATTGATAAGTAACTGTGATATTACCTCTGCATACAATGTAATAATGATACCAAATACATGTACAATGTATATTGTACATGTACAAATCTCACGAGTATTAAATTCACTGTTGCTTTGGTGAATAGGCCAAACCTCTTGAACAAACCACTTCGGCACATTCTGGTTTTCAGGGATCAGTTACAGTCAGTTACTTCGCTAATAACGACTGCGGATATAACGACAGAATGTTCATGCCCAGAGCAAAGTCCCATCCAACTGTGACACATAATTATAATGAGACTTCGGGTATAACGACACTTCGCGAATAAGGACACTTTTCTGATGCCCCGTCGAGTGTAAAAAAAAATACAAAAAAATTACAAAAAATAACAAAAAATAAGCGAAGTTGACTGGATACTGGTTGTTATACCATTCCAAATCCGTCAAACAATCCTTCCTGGACATGGTGGCACACAGCTGAGTTCTGATGACCCAGTGGGTCCTAGACTTAAGCGGCTGTTTTATATCGACCACTTACGTAGGCATTTTAATATTTCGACTTTATAGGGACTCTCTCCAACTCAAGAAGAATGAGGCGAAGGAAGAGAACAAGCAGGATTTGAACCCACAGCAGTATGGAATTTCAAGCGACCCCTTATACCACCCAGCCACTGTGCTGCTGATGCATCGATGGTGAACCCTGTACAGTCCATTTCAAAACTATAGACGCGTACCTAGGCAAAAACCGTTATGCCAGCATCTATACCACATAAAATCTGTGATCACTTTGTGCATAATTTTTCCAAATTGAGCGTCTGTTATCCAATCCTTTAGAAACTACAGTCGACCTACCCTTATAACGATATTTGCGTCAGACCAAGAAATATTGTTATAAGGGTAATATTGTTATAGGGGTAACTGGTTCATTTCATACACATACGTCATAATACATGGATTTTGTTCATTTTTTACGCTCTTCATAGCATCAAAAACTATCGTACATGCACATTATGTACATAGCAAGGTGCCCACTGGTGCCCCCGTTGCATTTCGTCATGTCCAAGCGACTTATCAAGTGAAGCTTGCCCTACCTGGATAGTGAGCTCTATAATCCCTGCTAGATATTGTTATAAAATGGAAAATGTCGATTGGTCAGCCCATTTTATATCGTTATAGGGGTAATATCGTTATAGCAATATTGTTATAGAGGTAAGGCATTGTATACACAAGTCAATGGAGTGATTTGGTTTGGCAGAAAAAATATCGTTATAAGGGTAATATCGTTATAGAGGTTATCGTTATAAGGGTAGGTCGACTGTATATGAGAGTAATTGTGGAGCGATCCTGAGCAATATTCCGAAACCTTTTCTCAAAAAGTTCCAGCCAAATTTGAAATATTTCAAAAACCCTACGCGTCTATAGTTTTGAAATGCACTGTAGTTCTTACAGTTTTGTACCCAAAACAGGCAATATCCTATGTAAATTACAAATGCTATACTAAAAAAGTGGGCTCAGAATGCGCGCTTTGGACAAGCAATCATGGAGGGAACTCTCAGCCTGAGCTGGTTTTGCTCGCGGCTGAACCCAGGACAGAAGCGGACCAGGCATCATGACTTTGCACATCTATCGTTATGCGGCTTCATTACGCGACCTGTTTATTATTATTATTAAGCTCAACTGATGAGGGGTGAATTCCCCGAAACACTGTGTATTGAGCAGGGAGTGGTGCTTTCTTGCAGGTTTGCCGAGTCGAAGGTTCGATGGACTTCTCGTGTGCTCTGGATGGCAGTCGTGAGTCAGTCAAGTGTCAAGTAAAGTCGGCGGAATAGCGCGAGCTCCGGTGTGGGGAGCAAACCTTTCTTACAAAATCATCGCCGAAGTCGCAACCACTACTTCGTATTATTATTATTATTATTATCTCTCCTTTATTCACTTCTTTCGAAGGCGATAAGCCAGACCCACCGGGAAATATTTCCATGGGTGGGACAGCAAAAAGAAAGTGAAAAAAACAAACAAAAATAAATAAATATATAAAACCTAAAAACCAAAGGGACAAGAAATAGTTGAAGGAAGAGGAAGAAAGGAAAGAAACTCAATCCGAACTCCAACATCAAAACAATAATAAAGAATTTGCAGCGACAGGCAAAATACATCAACCAATGAAGGGAGTAACAAAGGAAACATCAGTCTTTATCGGTCGTTATTCAAGTCTCTTAGCTATTGAACATGCAAACGCAGCAGAGGTGCATCTACATGTTAAGGATAGTTCTTAGTATTTTAATCGAACCTTGTATAGCCTCCTGTTGTACAATAGCCAGGTCTCCTCCCTGCACAGTCCGAAGGCATTGAGGAGCCTCCCTCACCAAGCCTCCCAGGGCACCGACAACCACAGGGACCACGTCAACCTGGGCGAGGGACCAAATCCTCGAAATCTCCCGCTTCAAATCATAATATTTCGAGCACTTTTCAGCCATTTTCTTATTGATGTTGATGTTGTTCTCACCAGGAACGCTGATGTCTATAATGTAGGCGATGCGCTCCTTGTCATCAACAAGGAGCGCATCGACCTGATAGTTTCAGGTCAGTTGGGACCGAATACTCCCAATAGAGCCGATACCGATCACTTTTGACCAATGCCTTGAGCTGGTGGTCGAATCGTGAAGCACCAGTAGGTAGATCTCGTGCTCTACACATTTCGAAGTGCACATACTTTACTATCCGGTTATGGCGTTCGATGTAACTGGTCCGAGCAAGAACTGGGCAGGCACTGACAATGTGGTCAATTGTTTCTAAGCTGCCCTTGCAAAGCCTGCAATTGGCATCAGTTCGAGCAATTGACTTCATTATGGCGTATTGGTAATTTTTCGTCTTGAGGGATTGGTCTTGTGCTGCCATAATCATGCCTTCAGTTGAAGGTTTCAGTGTCCTTGATTTCAACCACATGAAGGTAACCACATGAAGGTAAGCTCCTTTATTGTTATTATTATGCCCTCTCGCTTAGGATGAGCTTTCTTTTTTTATGGCAGCTTAAGCGAAGGCTATATACCTGTTTTATGCAGGTTGATGCCAACGCGAACAAGCAAAATAATAATAATACTAAAAAATATCAAATTTTGGGGTTATGGCAAAGGAATCGTCATATATATATTATATCATAATTATCGTCTTTCACTCGCCCTATATTTCCCATGTTGAGATTGTCTAGGGCTTATCCTATACGAAGTAGTATTCTACAACAGTTGAACCAATTCCTATTAAATATTTGTTCGAATTTTGTTGGAATGGACTCGAATGCGTAACTTGTAGTTAGTTGATCATTTTTCTTTCGTAGAAATCTAATAATATATTATTGTTGTATGGCACAGTTCTGTATCATTTTATTTGTACAAACCGGAATGTATAGCTAGCAGCTGGCGCCAGCACAGTATATAAGGAGCGACATCTCCGTTTGAAGCTTCGTCTTGATCTGCTTTGATGGCTTTAAGCGATGTGTCGAGTGGAAGCATTGACCCAGCTCACCCAAGATGGCGATCGTTGTTGATAAACTGGAGGCGCTGCCACCGAAGGGTGACGACTTCTGCCTAGACGTCAGGAAGGATGTTGTCAACATCGTTAATTTGAAGAACGTTCTCTCTAGGCTCCGTATCCTGCCCAATTCTACAGGGAGCACAGCAAGATGTGCAGCCGTCCAATTCAAAGATTCTAAACAACAGGTTGCACTAAAGATGTTCAAGCAATGTGACGAGGAAACCGGGCACCGTTTTATGGAGGAAGCCAGGATAGCTGTGAAAGTGAGTGACCACCCTAACGTCATCACAACTTCTCTTCCTTTATACCGGAGCGAGAAGGAGGGCTTCATCATGGTCATCGAGCTGGCAAATGGAGGTGATCTCTGGGACTATGTGTTTCAATCAAAACCAAAGCCAGAATATGAGCTCCGGGGTTTGTCTAGGCAAATGGTAGATGGACTAAGCCATGTCCACGGCTGCGGGTATGCCCACATGGATGTGAAGCTAGAAAACTTTGTTGTCTTCGTCAACGCCGACAACAGCAAGACCCTGAAGCTGATCGACTTCGGCCTTGCTTATGGCTTGGGCAGGTGGCAGGATCGCGTTGAAATGGATTGCAGCGGCGCCGCCTACTATGCGCCAGAGCGGTTTCCACTCCAGCCGCCCCTTTACTCACCACAGGAGGCATATTTCTGTGTCCAGACCTCATTTGACGTTTGGGGTCTGGGTATCTGTTTAGTAGTGATGTTCACCCTGCAGTATCCATGGGACAGAGCAGATATCACTAAAGATATAAGATACGCGAAATTTCAGGAGTGGGCATCGCACTTCCGTTACGGAGATGCCTCGCGTGAGTCTGCCCCTGAAATATTCCAATGCTTCTCGGATGCGTGGCTAGATATCTTTGTCAGCATATTTGATGAGATCGAGGAGACCAGGCTCACCATGGCCCAATTAAGATCTGCCATTGACAGACCGGACTCGATCTACGACTAGTAAAATAAATATTTTTGAAATATCACAATTGTCTATTGTTCCGTTACACTGGCACGGGGAACCAACTGTTTGGCTGAATATGCGACCTAAATAATTATTTGATATCGCAACCAGCTCTGTGCAAAACCGCTATCTAGAAAGTGAAGTGGGAAAGAGTTGACGAGGTGGCCCTTTAATGTGGGCAACAGAAGTCGATTTGTAGGGTTGTCATTTTACGACTCTTTATTTTTTTGTGAAGCGCTGTCTTTAACGAGCTCACTTTTCGGATTAGTGTATACTCCGTTCGGCACCGTGTATGTTATGTACAGGCGAAATGTGGTCATGCATTGACCGTGGTCAGCATGGTATCATGTATTGTATTGCACTATTAATTTTTGTATCATTCTTTTTAATGGATTAGGCGGTACATGGGTAAATACGTTGCATAGACGAGAATGAAAAGCAACAGGCGAAGGCACAATATGTAAGGAGCGACATCTCTGAGTGAAGCTTCGTCTTGATCTGTTTTGATGGCTTTACCCGATGTATCGCGTAGAAGCATTGACGCAGCTCACCCAAGATTGACAAGGCTAGTTCGACCATCGTTGCCGATATCCGTTTTTCGCATATTTGATGAGAGGGAGGCCTGTCTCACCATGGCCCAATTAAGATTGAAAAGGCTAGTTCGACCACCAAAGGCTGCACCACAACTTGTGCAGTTAGTAAACTCAAAAGTACTGGGAAGCTGGTCAAGTGCGACAGATGTTCAAGTACTGTCTGTAGCTTGGCAAACGGGCACAATTTTATGAAGTAAGCCAGGATATTTTTGAAAGTGGGCGGCCACCCTAACGTCATCAACACTTTCTCCCATTATACCGGAGCGTGAGGGAAGGCTTCGGTATCTTTAACGAGATGGGACTTTGTGTTTCACTCAAAAACAAAGCCATCCTTAGTTGCGGGTATGCCCACATGGATGTGAAGCTAGAAAACGTTGTTGTCTTCGTCAACGCAGACAACAGCAAGACCCTGAAGCTGATCGACTTCGGCCTTGCTTATGGCTTGGTCGGGTGGAAGGATCACGTTGATAAGGATTGCAGTGGCACTGGCATTGCCCAACCCATTTGCTGGGAGAACAAAGTGAATGTTTCGAAGTGTGGGCTAGATGGAATTGGTATCTGTAGGTCCTTTGGTTTAGGGGTAAAATCACGTGTCTCTACAGTTTGTTTACTAATTTTTCTATCATGACTTAGTTACAATCTTCAGTATAATTATCTTCGCACGGTCAATTGGTTTCGAGGCCTAGTGCACTCACAGGGACATCGTACTCTGCGTTCTCGCTGCAGTGTTACGCCACTCCGTGCCTTCATCAATCAATCGATCGTCGAAGAGCCTCTCCACAACAATGCTGCAAGCGCTTTGTCGCCGAGTCTCCTGAACCAGTATGGTAGATAGGAAGGCAATGTCATGCATAGGATATCGGTAAGTATTTCTGACCAGTTGGTACATGTATTGCGAATGTAGTTCTGCTGTTGAGGAATGAAAAGAATGTTATGTTATAATTATGTAAAAGCACTCACTCAAGGGGAGTGAGCTGAGCCCTCTGGAGAACTGACTCTCCGTAATGTTCAACACTTTCTTATATCGCCTGTTGCAGTGTGTGCATTCTCAGCAACCGGGTTCGAAATAATCCTAATGTGTTGAAAGTTGTAATTACGTCACCTGAAGCGCAACGTTCACACTTTGGAAGGAATGGAAAGGGATGAGATCTGAAGAACAATGGACTTTCATCATGCGGGTGCTTCGAAGTTTATGCATGGCCATGGCAATTGTGGCACCTCTTCTAAGTTGGAAAAATGTTGGTTTGCACTTTGTAGATGTGTTAGAGATAGGTATCAGGTCGCTGAATGGTTCAATATCCTTCTAAGTGTTGTGCCTTGTTGTCGCACTATCTGACTGCACAATACCTCGTTACATCGGTGGACTGCTAGTAGGTTTAGGGCCCTCACTATGCTTTTTTGACTAGGTCATCATGCCTGTTATTCGAACTGATTGAAACGTTTTTGAAATACGAATTAAAGCCTTGTGGACTATGGCTAGGGCCAGATGCGACTGAAGTAACATCTTTTGCATAGCGGCATATGTTGCATACATTACGGCCCTATGCCTACTTACGGCAGTCACCGCACACCGAACAAGCTCGGGGCATGATCATTGTCTTTCTCCTGCCGACTGGATACCTGTTCAGCGGTCTCTTGCTGTCGACGCATCTTTTCACGAAGTCGGTGAGTCTCTGAGCGATGGAGTATTTGCTCTGTGCGGTGACTGCGGTCCGTAGGCATGGGGCCCGTCGCATTATCGTTCGAATGTTTTTGGGTGCGCTGCTAATGGGCCGGGGATGTAAGGATCGAGTAGATTGCAGTGTTTAAGAGGCGCCTTTGAGGACTATTTTTTTCTGTTCTCTTTCGGTTGTACCCGATCTCCCTCTAATGTACCGCTGACTCTACGCTGAAGATCTAAGCATTTTAATTCTCATTCTGATTACAATTTTCATATTCGCTTTCATGTTATTGGGTTCTATGCCCGTTTGAATTTGCGAACCAAAATAAATAAAAAAATAAATAAAAAAAACTAACTATGAGGAAGACAAAATGCCAGCTAGGGTGACAGTGTTGAAGCTCTGAGTAGACGGCGTCGGCAGGAGTGCCTAAACAGAGAGTAAAAGACGTAAGAGAGATCCCGCCGCCTCAAGAGTCGTCGAATTAATACTGATCGGATACATATGCATGATTGTATTGCAAAACCGTTTCCATCAGGTCAGGTCGAATAACATTCAAAACAAGCATAGCCTATGGCCCTGAGCTTTCAAGCTCTCTTGTATATAATTGAATTGTTAAATTTAAAGGACTGGGAGAACTTTAAAAATTTCAAAAGATCCTGGGTTCGGCCTGGTCCCACAGCAAAGATCCTGGGTTCGGCCTGGTCCCACAGCTCAGATGGTTAGAGCATTGCTCATGGCAAGCAAAGTCCCGGTTCGAATCCTAGTGGGCCCGGTTCCAGTCCTAGTGGATTCGGCTGGCATTTTTCACTTTTCAGGCAGTTAACTTCTCCGACTGATCCTTTGAAGTTAATTAAAAAATGAGCCTCTTGATGCTAAAAGGGGGCTTATGCCATTTTGCGCACTATTGAGAAAAACGCATTTGAAAGTTCAGCAAGAGTAGATACTGTGTATCTACTCTTGGTAGTGTTGGTAGCAAAAATACTACTTTCCCTTTTCCATTCCCTCAAATTATGAATAAATAATAATACTTATGCGTTGTCTGCACTTCAGGTATCAGTGATACTCCGCCCAACACCACACGCTGCCATGCAAATACAAGACAAGGCTGATCGTCACAACGTAACAGTTACATGGTTGAATACTCTATTGTCACAAGACAGAATAAGACTGTAAGTGTGCCTTGCTGCCACAGAGCTAATTGTCCAGTGGATCCGAAAGCCAGGAATCTTGACAAGCAATAATAATTATTATGATCCGCAAGGATCCACCCAGAAGTGCTGATTGACATACTGAGAGATGTATTATTGTTTCCGGGAAACATCTCCAGTAAAGTTTGTTCCACAGGGAAACATGTTGATTGAACGCTGCAAACTAATGTAGTAATATTTACACGGAGTTTTGTCTTTCACGCCTCCAGAATCGGCGAACCAGCATTTGACTATCGTGAGCGGCTCTAGCGGTTACAGGCACTAGCATATCGACCTTGTGAGGTCTTCCTGCATGTGTTGCTCGCCATTTTAGAAAATGTTCCTTTGTCCCTTACATTGCTTGCTGCGTGTAGTCCTTTTTCTCACAAGCTGTTGCCATAGTAACGTTAAGGTGTTTAGCGGTGTTATTTGGAATTACGAAACTGAGACGGTTGAGAGCGGTAGCCTTTTTTGGAGCTCCCGGAAAGTACCCCCTTTTTTCGTGATTCCCTGGGCCTTTGGCCCTCGGAATACTTTTTGCCTTGTATCCAGTATGGCTGACAAGTCCACTGACAAAGTGGACATTGTTATCCTGATCGACTCAGAGCTGAGGGACCTCATCCGACACCGTGGTCTGGACGTCCCGCGGAAAGCCACGAGGACCGAACTTGTTGCTGCACTGAGGGCATCGCAGGACGCCACCTACAATGGTGTGAGTGTCTCTGGTAGCGATCATGCTGTTTCGAGCCTGTGCTCAGCCCTGTCAGACCTCACAGATGTAGTAAGGGAGTTGAAGGCGGAAATAACCGCCATGAAGGGAATGGAGGACAACTTCCACGAGACGAATAGAGAAGTCATGGATTTGAAAAAGAACGTACAGGAGTTGAGAGTTGATCTTGTTGCCGTACAGACCGAGCTAGCCGTCCTAAAAAGCGGGGAGGCTGCCTTGCATGCTACGGGAGGCACGCACCTTGCAAAAGGTCAAACACATGCACATACACGCCACTTGATGAAACGGGGACAAGCACGGGCTATGGTGCGCAATCCTATGCTGCTACCCTGCAATCTTCCGGACCCCCTCTAGCTCTGCCTTGCATGCTACGGGAGGCACGCACCTTGCAAAAGGTCAAACACATGCACATACACGCCACTTGATGAAACGGGGACTATGGTGCGCAATCCTATGCTGCTACCCTGCAATCTTCCGGACCCCCTCTAGCTCTAGTGTACACTCACGTCGTACAAGCCCTAACCCAGCCCAGTCAGTCCCACAGAAAACCAGAGTGGTATCATATTACCACAAGCCGCCCAAACAACCCTCTGGCACGTCTGACCGTCTCGTTGCAGGTCGCCGTGTGAAATGCAGTGCAATCCATGTGGGAAACATTGATCCCAGCTGCTCAGCTGACGCTATCGCGAAATGGTGTCAGAAGAAGCAAGTGGAAGTTATCAAGTGCTCCATTTCCGCAACAAAGTACTTCGGACTTTCGTACGCACACCTGGTGGTCCCTGAAACGTACACGGCGAAAGTGTTGGACAAGGAGTTCTGGCCCGAGGATTTCACTGTGCGGAAGTGGTATTGGGAGACTGATCGAGTCGCCCACGGTTCCAATCAGTAAACATGTCTCCTCTAAATCCACTCGCACCACCGTTCACCCCCAGATCACATCCTCCACCACCAATATCTCTACCCAGTCATCATACTAATCATAACATCAATATCGGTCATTTAAATGTGCGTAGCCTCAGACATAAACTCCATGAAATTCAATCCCTCATCTCCGACCATTCCCTGGATGTTCTCGCTATTACTGAAACCTGGCTTGACAATACAGTTGCTGACTCAGAACTAGCTATTGACGGGTACACGCTGTTCCGGCGCGACCGAGAGTGTCCACGAAGCTGCCCTTGCCTTAGTGGTCTTTCAGTCCCCTGACGCAAGGCGGGAGGTGTCTGTGTGTACAGCAGCACTAGACTTGGCTTTACCCGGCACTTGCTACAAAGCTCAAATAATTTTGAAATGCTCTGGCTTACATCTCGCCGGCGACGCAATGCTGCTCCCTTCCATCTTGGTTGCCTCTACAGACCCCGAATTCCCCAGCATCGTTTTGGACTTCCCTGGCGCAGGAACTGACAGAACTCCAGGGTAACTCGTTGGTGCTCATGGTTGACCTGAACGTGGATTCTCTCCAACCTACATTCCAGCTCTACTCGTCTCTCCTTACCAACTTTCTTTTGCCCTTTAACTTTCTAAACTGTATTCACGACCCAACTCGTGTTTGTCCGAAGTCGTCATCGTCAATTGACTACATTCTAAGTAATACAGATGCTGTCTCAGGCGGTATTGTTCATGACTTTGAGCACTCCGATCACTGTTTGGTATGTGCAACCTTGACCACCTCCGACCCCTACTCTTTCCCGACTGACTGCAACCAGCGCCTGCCCAGTTGGGACTTTTCCAACACCGATATCAAGCAATTGGAGACCCTCTTAGAGTCCGCAAACCTCTGTACTTTCTCTCTCTCTTCCAGCGTGAATAGTATGGTTGACGAATGGACAAGTAAAGTTGACTCAGTGCTGGATTTGGTAGCGCCATATAAACCGTCTAAGCATTACCGACATGCTCCTCGTCGAAAGTGCCCCTTTGTTACGTAAGAGCTACAAGCACTAATTCGGAGGCGCAAAGCGGCCTTTCGCACGTGGCGCAAGGGAGGCTCCACAGACACCAAGCTTTACAACAGCTTTCAGCGCCTTCGCACCCAATGTAACAATCTCTATCGTCGTCTGCGGAACCAGCACTATCAGAGAATTTGTGCCGAATACAGAAAATCTCCGCGTCGCTTATGGGCTACAATCAACTATGTGACAAAGCGTAAACCAAAGTCGTCTCCCATTCTTGCACCTAACCTGAATGACCACTTCCATGCTATAGTCCACGGCCCCACAAGCACGTACGACCTGCCGTCTGGACCGGTCCTTGAAGATGCATTGACCTCTTTCGATCGGGTCAGCACTACAGAGGTAGAGCGTGCTCTTCGCTCCCTTATACCGTGCAAGGCACCGGGTCCAGATGGCCTTCTGCCTGGTTTCCTCAAGGCCATGGCGTCCTCCTTGGCGCCTTCTTCGGCACAAATCTTCAGCGCGTCTCTTAGCAGTGGAGTGTTTCCTTCTGCCTTTAAGCGAGCCAACATCACCCCGATCCCAAAATCCGCTCAGACCGACGTCCACAACGCAACGAGCTACCGCCCAGTTTCGCTGACGTCGATCCTGTCCAAAGTGTTGGAATCCGTGGTAATGTCGCAACTATTCTGTCACCTGGACTCGACTGCATTCCTACATGATCACCAATTTGGGTTCCGCCCAAATCGCTCCGTCCATCAACTGCTCTCTTTCGCAATTAATGACTGGTGTCTTGCTCGGGACCAGAGCCTGACCTCTGCTGTCGCGTTTGTTGACCTTAGTAAAGCGTTCGATCGTGTGCAGCATCAGCAGCTACTCTTGGCTTTGCACGAGATTGGTATCAGCGGATCAGCACTCTCATGGTTTAAATCCTACCTTTCTGGCAGAGCCCAGCGGGTCCTCAGGTGCGGTGAGGTCTCTCCATTTCTACCTGTCACTCGTGGGGTCCCGCAAGGCAGTGTCTTGGGCCCAACTCTGTTTAACATCTATGTTCGCCGCCTTCCTGCAACTGCTGACACATCCGGGACGAAATTGCTCGCTTTTGCGGACGACAAAACGGTGTACGCATCCTGTCCGACGGCAAAGGAGGCTGCAGATTTAGTTTCCCACACGTTATCAGCACTCGCTACTGATCTTCAGCAACTTGGCCTGACTATCAATGAGAATAAGACTGTTGTAATGTTCATCGCTCCCAAGCGCTGGCCGGTCTGTCCCACGCCCACTATCTGTATCAATGGTAAAGTGCTGACAGAAGTGTCCAGTGCTCGCTGTCTGGGGGTTGTAATTGACAACAAGCTCTCGTTCACACCTCATTGTGATAAGCTTGTTGCCAAGGTGTCACGCAAAATTGGTGGTCTACGGCGTTCTTTTCGTCAACTGTCCCCGTGCGCTTGTCGCCTTTATGTGCTATGCGTAATTCAATCTGATCTAGAATTTGCATTTCAATCGTTCTTACCCTGCTTATCTGCAAAAGACCGTGGGCGCCTATTTGCTGTTCACCGTCGTGCGATCCGAGCTGCCTGTGGTGCCCATTACTGTGCTGACGTGGACCCCCTTTACCACTCTCTTAAGCTATGTCCTCTGGACCACCGTTTCTTACATTTGTTCATTAAATTTATCTTTCAGTGTAAAAGTAGCTCACCCGGTTGCCAGTTTAGATTCTCTATTTTGTAGGCACAGTACACCTGCTTACACCACTCGCGGCTCTTCTGCAAATAATCTTTCGTTATGCCCATATAAGACTGCATGCGGGTATCGCTCATTGTCTAGTAGGATTGCTTTACTTTGGAATGCTCTGCCCTTCGAAATGAAGTCTTGCAATACGTCTTCTGCATTTAACGCCCATCTTGCCTGCCTTCTTAATGACGGGCCACAATGTACCCGGTTAAAACAGCTCCTTCTTGAAAATGTTTTCGATGAGTGATGTGTCGCTTTGTTTTGCTCTAATTGGTGCTTTTCTCCAATGTCATGCAGTCGTATTTATTCAGCTTTTATTTCTTGTGTACTTGCGTACTGGTATTTGTTTAGTCCCACAATCTGCGATAAAATGATCAACTGTAGCACCTACTCCACTTTTATGTTTATGTATCTATGTCATTCGGATCTTCCCAAGTTGTACAATGTACTGTTGAGATACCGAATTCAAATAAATCAAACCCATTTGGGTGGCGGTGGTTCCGGTACTCCGGGCTTGCTGGGAGGTTTGTTTGGAGGTTTTTTACGAGGTTTGTGAGGGTCCGGTCCCAGTGTTAACGTGGTCGGTCTGGGTCGCGGCATTATCCTCTGACCCATTGGGTTCTTTAGCACCACGTGACCAAGCTGCTTGGTGGGATGCGGTGTTCCGTTGCTGATTGTCCCGCGTGGAGCTTCGGGAAGCTTCCCAATTTTGTCCATGACGTCTTTACTAGGGCCGGGGACCTTCAGGAAGCGAGACGGTGCGTTGGGGGGACGTAGGTTCTTTCGCGGTGTGCTGGTGGCGTGCGGCGAAAAGTTCGGCGCCTTCAAGTCCTTGCCACACACTTCTCCTTCTTCAGGTGTTCGCGCAGCCGGCTGTCCTCTTCCACGGAGAAAAGATGGATTCTTGCCAGGCGGCCGATCCGGGCTCACTGCTGCAGTACGATATGCAGGGCTGTTATCGTTACACTGGTCGAAATCCATTTCACCCACAGGATTGGTGGCTTTTGACTTGATGGCTGACTTCGGTTTTGCGTTAGGGAGATACTGTTCAAATTTCACAGGGCCCGTTAAGGGTGGCGAGCCAGCGTCCATCTTGCGCTGGTTAAACTGCTGGCGGCTCTCCACCACTTTTCGGCCCCGTAGTGCAACAGGCGGTACAGCGTTCGTTGGGGTACCAGATGGGCCCTGGGATGCTGGAGTGCCAGCTCGTGCCGGGACAACTGTCTTTGGCGTAGGGGGCACCTGTTTGCCAGCTTTACTGGCGGGATTGTTGCCTCTCGGCGGTTTCATCTATAGCAAACAGGACAAACACAAATTCACAATAGCAATTGGCCCAAATTTGAAAGCCCACTCTACTTCTCGCACTTAGAGAACTAGGACTTTGATATTTTATGCCCCTTTCAGATCTACTTAGTGTGTCACAATACGTCATTGCGATAGATTCTGTCGTTACAAAATGTAAACTTAGGAATCACACACCCACCTCCCAACGAAGAAAAGCCGAAAGAGAAGAAAGACCAGAGCGCACAAGATGCAACAACAACAACAACAACAACAACAACAACAACAGCAACAACAGCAACAACAGCAACAACAGCAGCAACAGCAACAACAGCAACAACAGCAACAACAGCAACAACAGCAACAGCAGCAACAGCTACAGCAGCAGCAGCAGCAACAGCTACAACAACAACAACAACAACAACAACAACAACAACAACAACGACAACAACAACGACAATAACAACGACAACGACAACGACAACGACAACGACAACGACAACAACAACAACAACGACAACAACAACAACAACAATACAGTATGCTGTCCAGAGGTTGACTAACAAAGTCATGAATTCCCTCCCATCTCTAGCCCCTCATCGGTACATGACCTTCCTGCTGTACTGATACCCAATCTCTTCTAATTGGCTTCTGTGGTTCTCTAATTTCACGAAAACGGCCCACATAATATCGTAATGTTATGTTGACTCAGGCCTGACACAACATATCTTCCCCGGCAGCGCTCGCCAGTCATCCTCCTCTGCGCCATCAGCATGTTTTCTAGTTCAAGCTAGGCTCGGAATCAGTGGCCCATAAGCGAGTTACAGAAATAGATTAGGGAATCAGGAATACTTGAATAGTTTGCAGGCAACCTGCCTACACCTGCAAACTATTCAAGTGCAAAGAAGCTGCGTGAAGCGTCCTTCAAAATGTTTTTAAACAGGAATACCTTTCTTCTACTCTAGCCAAGGGTTTTCGAAAGCATCGGCATGAGCTTACAATTGTTGCACCTACCTTATTTTCGTGTGTGTCCGTGGATATGTGCTGCCCCGTCAAGACGTATCTCCATGACTAAGACGATACTTAGGTGATCTAACAGTATTGCTGCGCCGCACCGCGTGGTCAGTGAATAGGCGAGAGCAACCGAGTTGTATGTAGCTGATGCAGGGAGTATCCAGTTGTACGACTCGTTTTGTATGCAGGCTTATTATTCATCCGGGCAGTAGAATTCTTTCTGTCGTTTGTACAACGTTTGTACAAAGAGTACAAGTAGTGCCCGTACTCGTACCTATTTCCTATACTCCATGCTCTTCACTGTGCATTAGGCCTAGCCCAAATTTGCTCGGGGCGCTTCGATATTTTGCCGGCAAATTTTGCCCAAGCACTTTCCATATTTTGCTTGGCATTGCCTTTCGTTTCCGATATTTTGCTCCATTTTGCTCCTGCTTTGTGGCAAAAATAGCTTCAAATGAACCGTCTACTTTGGTAAAAGTGGATGGTGACTCTGATGAGGAAAGCAAAACTGAAAATGGTGTCAGTATTACGGATTTAACCGGGATTTTGTAGCATGATTTCAAATTTATGTACCCCTGACAACCTGCACGAGCTATTTCAGCACGACGTTGGCCCAATGAAACCAAAGAAAGTAGAATAGAATTGCCAAAACACACCCGGATCCTCTGTAAATTCGATATTTTGCTCGGAATTTGCTGGCAATTTCTTTTCGTGGGAAATTTCGATATTTTGCTGGAAGAATTGCCGGCAAATTTGGGCTAGGCCTACTGTGCATCTATACTGCTTACACAGCTGCATAATGCCGTATATTATTATTATTTTTTAAAATTTTACTATTATTATTTTTTTTTTCGGCAACGCAGATGATGATGATGATGATGATGATGATGATGATGATACAGTGAAAAATACAGTCTGCGATTCGGTATTTGTCAAGTGAGTCCTCGAGTAGCGTGATGGGCATGACAGACGTGGTGGATGAGGAGACTGGAGCCACAGTGCAGGAGACTCTGCTGCAAAAACATCCGCCTGCTGCTGAGCCGCCTGCTTCGGTTCTCCTTGACAACAATATTGACCAGATTAACAACATCGTATTCCAGAAGATCACACCAGAGCTCATCCGACGGCTTGCTCGACAGATGCAGGGCTCTTCGGGACCGTCGGGACTGGACTCTGAGGCATGGTGTAGAATGCTCACTTGTTACCGAAAGTCCTCAGACAGCCTCTGCACGGCCCTCGCTAAGTTTGCTCATTGTTTATGCTCAGAGACCCTCGACTCGGAGCATCTCGTGGCGTTTACAGCTGCTCGTCTGATCCCATTGGACAAGCGCCCTGGTGTACGCCCAATTGCCGTAGGGGAGGCATTTCGACGGATTGTGTGCCGTGCCGTCATGCGAGTGCTTGAGGTGGATGTACGCCAGGCTACGGCTCCTTTCCAGCTGTGCATCGGCATTCCATTCGCATGCGAGGCTGGTGTGCACGCGGCTCAAGAGCTGTTCCAACAGGATGACGTTGAGGGCGTCCTGTTTGTGGATGCTAGCAATGCGTTTAATTCACTCAACAGGAAGGCGGCTCTGCATAATGTACCGCGCGTGTGCCCTGCTATGTCCAAGATCTTCAGCAACACCTATGGCAGCCCGATCCGCCTCTTTGTCTCGGGAGGTGGTGAGATTCTGTCCCGCGAAGGGACCTGCCAGGGGGATCCGTTGGCCATGGCTATTTACGCTCTTGCGACAGTCCCGTTGATCAGGCGACTTCGGGATACCAACGTATCAGTAAAGCAGGGATGGTATGCAGATGACGATTCAGCCGGAGGTAGGATACCATCACTATGGTCATATTGGAATGATATCAGTCAGATTGGTCCAGGCTATGGGTATTTCCCGAATCCCAAGAAAACCGTTCTCCTTGTAAAGCCTCAGTATGAACAGGATGCTCGGCTACAGTTCCAGGGCTCTGGCGTCGTCATCACAACTGATGGTAACCGATATCTTGGAGGCGTGATTGGCAGCGAGGATTTTTGTTCTTCCTTTATGGAGCGGCGTGTCCAGAAGTGGGGACGGGTATTGGATACATTGTCTTCAATGGCAACCACACAGCCACAGGCAGCCTATAGCGTATTAACTAAAGGTTTGTCGAGCTCCTGGACCTATCACATTCGTTGTTCGCCATGTTCTCCAGAGCTCCTGACGGCGATCGACACCGTGATTGATGAACGTCTGCTTCCGGCTCTACTTGGCGATGGTGTCCGTCCTGATAGTCCTGAGAGAGAGCTGTTGACATTCCCCGTCCGGTATGGTGGCCTTGCCATTCCCGTTCTGGCGGCTAGTGCACCTGCTGAATTTATTGCGTCAAGGGCAGTGACCAAGCCTCTGGTACAGCTGCTGCTGACCGGCAATTACACAAGCCCTCCTGACGTTTCCTGTGTGCCACAGATGGAAGCCCAGGAGAAAATCGCACAGCCTGATGGAAATATTGGTGTGCTGGCGAATCCGGATCAATTAATCTTGACACATGATCCGGTTCGTGATGCAGTGGGCGATGCACGGCACATTGCAAGAACAACGCGGGCGGCCAGGATCGGGGATGTATGTCGTCGCCAAGCCGATATCAAGCCATGCTTGACTGCCGAGCAGCAGTTTTTGGTAGAAGTCGCAAATGAGAAGGGTCTATCATCGTGGCTGACGGTGGCTCCCCGCTGGCAGCATGGAACAATTTTAAAGAAATCAGATTTCCGGGACGCTCTATGCATCCGGTATGGTCACAGATTGAGTGGACTGCCGGAGAAATGCGTGTGTGGAGTGGATCTCAGTCCCGCACACGCCCTCACTTGCGCTACTGGTGGGTACACAATCGCCAGGCACAACGAGGTGAGAGACCTTGTCGCCGGTCTCCTGAGAGAGGCAGGTGTTGTTGACGTCGAGACCGAGCCTAGATTATTGCCGTGCGGTGATGAGGATCTACCAGGAGGGCGTTCGCTCAACAGAAGTACTGAGGCTCGTCTTGACGTGCGGGCTCGGGGCTTTTGGTCGTGGCAACAAGACGCTTTTTTTGATGTGCGGATTACCCATCCCGCAGCGTCCGTGTTGTCTCGATCAAAAGCCTTGAGTCAGCTGAAGTCCCATGAACGGGCAAAAAAGAATCAATATGCCAGCCGCGTTGTGAATGTCGAGCGAGGATCGTTCACCCCACTGGTGTTCTCGACTTATGGTTTCAGCGGGCCTGAGACAACTCAATTCCTAAAGTCTCTTGCCTCTCTCTTTGTAGAGAGAAGCCAGGATCTCAAATATCCTGTTGTCATGGGTATGTTGCGTACCCGCCTGTCGTTTTGCCTCTTGAGGTGGGCCATTACGTGCTTTCGTGGTTGCCGAGGGTCTTATAACAGACGGCGGGTGAATTCCTTTGTGGCCCAGTGTCGTTTGGCCGCATAGTGAATTTTTATGCTATGCCTCTCAACAATATCACTATGGATAACATCACATTTTTTAAATAACTATTTGGTAAAGTAACATCATCTGTCATTCAATATCTATCTGGTAAAATAATCAGCATTTGAATATCTACTTGGTACTAATCATTCAACTGTTAAATGTCATATTTTTACCTGAATATCTATCACGACTTTTGCACATAATCTCGGTTATCACCGTTTCAAGCCCGTACAAGAGGCCGTTTCCAATGATGATGATGATGATGATGATGATGATGATGATGATGATCAATCTCATTCTCCACGCTTTGCTGTCATTTGGTTATGTTTTAAAGTAGTTTTTATGACCTGATGTTTGTTTTTTATATTTGTAGTTCGATTGTTGAAATCTCTTGTCTTTTCTTTGGGTTAAAAGGTTAACTTCATCCTCGTTTTCTTATTGCCTTGTATTGGAATTTGCCCATAAAAGTGGCTACGGTGTGATAATGCATTTTTATATTTCGTGTTTTAACATTATTTTCAGAAAATTGCTCTTACAATACCTTGCGTTTTATATTCATAATAT